AAGCGGGAGACAACGACAAGAAGAGAGAACAGAAGAGAGAGAAATCGCAAAGTCAACAATATTTGGCATGGCGTTGCAAGTCCTGTGGCCTTGAGAACCGTCTTTCGCAATGCTCGCATTCATGACAGCAGTTGTTCCACACACACACACATACACACACACACACACAAACACACACACACATACACACACATACACACATGCACATGGAAACACACATAGTAGTAACATGCACACGGACATACACACACACACACACACACACACACACACACACACACACACACTTGTACTTGTACTTGCTCACTGCCAAAACTGGTCACGTGGGTCTCCCCGGGAGAGGGGAGAGAGACTCAAAAGGAATCTTGGAAAGATGATTCAATTGGCTATTGAACCGCCCAACGGCCGACACCCCCTGAAGTCCCCAAAACTCTGGGTGGACTTGAAAATGATCCCACTTATGGGATCACCACACCTCAGTAAGTGGGTGAGGACAAGGTGCAGAAAAAGGATTGACGGCATCAGGGTTTCCGTCCTGGGATCCAACTGCAGTTACCCCTGCCCTCAGTGAAGGTAATACTTGCTACTAGTGTGGGTGGCTACATGAGAGTGGATCTGATATAAGCTTCACTAGCATCATTGATTACACAAGAGTTAATCTAGCCAGAAGCAGTCCATGGTTAACAGGTATGTATACTTCAAATAGAAAGTATACGAACCCTGAAACCAACAAAGGTGGCAGATACAACAATACACCTTCAAGCAGCCGAGCCTGTTGGCAACAGACCCAACACAATCAGGCATAAGTGTACCCACCAACCGACCTAGCTGGCACACACACACACACACACACACACACACACACACACACACACACACACCTTGACCTTGACAAACAGCTGCCGTTAAACGGCTAAGCTGCCCTCATGAGGAGGGGAAGAAAGGGGTAGCATCACGGCGTCGCGGCAGAACATCCGACATCACGCCGCTTCAGATCTTGCTGTCTGCGATATCTCTCTCGCCGTACGCATAGCAGAACTTGAACTCAAGACGCTCTTTCGCTGTTGGTCGCTTGCCACGCTTGCAATTGTGCCGTTTAAATCCAGCAGCTGATCGAAAGCACCGGTTACATGATGCAGTGGAATGGGCAACAATGTTGGTGTTGAAGCACTAGGCAAGGTGCAGGATCGACAGAGTCTGAAGGCTGTTGGGAGGAACCGGTGCCACGCGGACTCTGGAATATCCAGTGAGCGCAGATCACCGACAAATGTGTCTCGCCAACGCTTCTTTGGATCATGCCGTGGTCTGGTTGCCTCAAGCTCCCCAAACAACACTTGTTGAGGAATCCGGGCAGAGTCCACATATGGGCAACATGACCCAGCCAACACGGACGGTACTCATGCAGGAGAGTGCCAATAGATATCCTTAGCAAAAATACCATAGCAATAAATAAGATAAATTGTGCACTCATAACAACAGCAAAAATGAAGAAAGTCAAGTTCCATAACGTTTTCTTGTGACTGTCATCAGTGGAACGCCGTCACATAAAAATGTAATAGCTAAAACACATACTTATATACATGTAGCTAATATGGTTTCAGGTAGAAATACAGCAACTAACAAGTACAAAAAGAGACATTTGCACCTTTGCAATGTGTGAATATAGTGTATGTGAGAAAGGTAGTGGCAGATGAATGTGATACTGTGTGAATGAATGTAATGGTGCGTGTGTATTACTTGAAGAGTGTGAGTGATACAACGTTTTCTTTCTGTTTACATAGCACAGGGTCACGAGTACGAATATACACAGCTTCCAACACCTGCAATTGCTTGAAGAAACGTGCGCAACGAATAACACTAAACCAGGAATCGTCAAACACCTTACGACATTCTGGACTGGACACCAAGTGCTTGTACACTGCGGACTTCCTCTTGTCAGCATCAGACTCCTCCTCATCACTACTCTCCTCCTCCACCTCCATTTCAATGCCGCCGTCCATCCCATCGCACTCGTATTCGTCGTCATCAGTCTCCATCTCCTCGCGATACCGCTTCCCTCTGCTTGATTTGTTCTGTGCCATGCCTGTGCTCCCTCCTGCGTCTCCTTGCCTTGTGTTCTCCACTTGTCTCAGTCGTGCCTCTGCTAGTCTCTTGCTTCTCCTCGGTTCTGCTCTGTTTTCAAGTTGTTCCCCTTCCGCTCTCACCGTTGTAGCAACATGGTTTGTCGAGGAGCGACCGTCCGGCGGCCTCCCATGCCGTGGTCCGGTTTCCGAGGGGGAAACCAGATTGGTCTGCTCGTTCTCCATGGAAGTAGTCGGGGTTACATTCATTCACACAGTATCACATTCATCTGCCACTACCTTTCTCGCCAAGAGAGGCTAGAGGGGTCACTCCCGGAGCAGGATCTTGGCAGAGCCAAGAGAGAGGTCAGACAGGGGTCACTGCCGGAGCAGGATCTTGGCGGAGCCAAGAGAGGAGTCAGAGAGGGGGCACTGCAGAG